TCAGCTCTTCTACGTAAGAGGAGTTGCAACCACAGCCACTCAACTGAATGTATCCAAGGCCCATGGGCAACTCGAGGCTGCATACGTCAGCTGTGGCTGGGAGGGGATGAAGCTGCTGAAAACCGCATTGTTCATTATGTTGACACGCCTGGCGCGAGGACCCAGTTGAGACCGTTGGATCCCCACTCACGATATGACGTTTGGTCGCGCGTGCGCGGATCCCAGACAAGATGGCGACCGCTAAACTGGAACGGCTTCCCAGGAAAAGGCCTGGATCTGGAAATACAGCAACTGTAGGTTCATTTTTAGTTTTCATTGCCTTCCAGATGTGTTTAGAAACCCCTCCCGGGCCATTGCGGTTTCCATCGCTCCCTTCGCACTTTCGATCTTTACCGACTGCAAATGTCACAAAAGAGCGTCTTTCCCCGTTGCCACCACTCTCGGTGCATACATTCCAAAGACGCAACGGCACAACGCCTGCGCAGTGCTCTCCTATGATGTTAATCAGGGACCTTCACCAGCGCGGGGACTGCTGCCATTGAAAACCTTCATCAATAAAACTTCTGAGACAACAAGGTGCAGAGCTGGATGAACACAGCAGGCCAAGCAGCAGCGTAGGAGCAGGAAGGCTGACGTTTCGGGCCTAGACCCTTCATCAGAAATGGGGGAGGGGAAGGGGGTTCTGAAATAAATAGGGAGAGAAGGGGAGGCGGATAGAAGATGGATAGAGGAGAAGATAGGTGGAGAGGAAACAGACAGGTCAAAGAGGCAGGGATGGAGCCAGTAAAGGTGAGTGTAGGTGGGGAGGTAGGGAGGAGATAGGTCAGTCCAGGGAGGACGGACAGGTCAAGGGGGCGGGATGAAGTTAGTTGGTAGGAGATGGGGGTGCGGCTTGAGGTGGGAGGAGGGGATAGGTGGGAGGAAGAACAGGTTAGGGAGGCGGGGACGAGCTGGGCTGGTTTTGGGATGCGGTAGTGGGAGGGGAGATTTTGAAGCTTGTGAAATCCTCTCACCTTCCTGGACCTCTCTGTCTCCATCTCGAGCAACCACCTAGAAAGCGATATCCATTTCAAGCCCACTGACTCCCACAGCTACCTAGAATACACCTCCTCCCACCCACGTTCCTGCAAAAATGCCATCCCCTATTCCCAAATCCTTCGCCTCCTCCACATCTGCTCCCAGGATGAGGCATTCCACTCCTGTACATCTCAGATGTCCTCGTTTATCAAGGACCGCAACTTCACCCCCCTCAGTGGTCGAGATCGCCCTCCACCGTGTCTCCCGCATTTCCCGCAACTCTTTCCTCACACCCATCCCCGCAATAACAACCAAAAAAGAATCCCCCTCGTCCTCACGTACCACCCCACCAACCTCCGGATCCAATGGATCATCCTCCGACACTTCCGCCATCTGCAATCCGACCCCACCACCAAAGACATTTTTCCCTCCCCACCCTTATCTGCTTTCCGGAGGGACCACTCTCTCCGTGACTCTCTTGTCCGCTCCACACTCCCCGCCAGCCCCACAGGAAGTGCTGTACCTGCCCCCACACCTCCTCCCTCATCCCCATCCCAGGCCCCAACGAGACTCTCCACATCAAGCAGATGTTCACCTGCACATCTGTTAATGTGGTGTACTGCATCCGCTGTACCCGTTGTGGCCTCCTCTATATCGAGGAAACCAACTGGAGGCTTGGGGACCGCTTTGCAGAACTGTTATGCTCGGCTCGCAATAAACATCTGCACCTCCATTTCAACTCCCCCTCCCATTCCTCAGACGACATGTCCATCCTGGGCCTCCTGCAGTGCCACAACGATACCACCCGAAGGTTGAAGGAACAGCAACTCATATTCCGCTTGGTTATCCTGCAGCCCAATGGTATCAATGTGGATTTCACAAGCTTCAAAATCTCCCCTCCCCCTACCGCATCCCAAAACCAGCCCAGCTTGTCACCGCCTCCCTAACCTGTTCTTCCTCCCACCTATCCCCTCCTCCCACCTCAAGCCGCACCCCCATCTCCTACCTCCTAACCTCATCCCGCCCCCTTGACCTGTCCGTCCTCCCTGGACTGACCTATCTCCTCCCTACCTCCCCACCTACACTCACCTTTACTGGCTCCATCCCCGCCTCTTTGACCTCTTTGTTTCCTCTCCTCTATCCATCTTCTATCCGCCTCCCCCTCTCTCCCTATTTATTTCAGAAACCCCCTTCCCCTCCCCCATTTCTGATGAAGCGTCTAGGCCCAAAACGTCAGCCTTTCTGCTCCTACGATGCTGCTTGGCCTGCTGTGTTCATCCAGCTCTGCACCTTGTTGTGTCAATAAAAATTCTACTGTGATTGAGCAGGTGGAGAAGGTTTCAATACAAAGAACTATACAGCACAGGAATAGTAAGAACTGCAGATGCTGGAGAATCTGAGATAATAAGGTGTAGAGCTGGATGAACACAGCAGGCCAAGGAGCATCATTGGAGCACGAAGGCTGACGTTTCGCACCTCGACCCTTCATCAGAAATGGGGGAGGGGGAGGGGAAGGGGGTTCTCACCATAGTCCATTGGGGATGATCTTGTTGACTGTAGTCCATTGGAGATGATCTGGAACCAGACCATCCCCAATGGACTACAGTCCACATTCAGGCCTTCCTAATTTGGCCCCAACCATGACAATGTCTACTGACCTATCTCCTCCCTACCTCCCCACCTACACTCACCTTTACTGGTTCCATCCCCAACTCTTTGACCTGTCTGTCTCCTCTCCACCGATCTTCTCCTCTGTCCATCTTCTATCCGCCTCCCCCTCTCTCCCTATTTATTTCAGAAACCCCTTAACCTCCCCCATTTCTGATGAAGGGTCGAGGCCCAAAACTTCAGCCTTCCTCCTCCTATGATGCTGCTTGGCCTGTTGTGTTCATCCAGCTCTACACCTTGTTATACAGCACAGGAACAGGCCCTCAGCCCTCCAAGCATGCGCTGACACATTTTGCCCTTCCATATTAAAACTGCCTTCGCTTACAGGATCTATATCCCTCTATTCCTTTCCTATTCATGTATTCGTCTGGGTGCTTCTTGAAAGCTCCTATTTCACAGCCTCCCGTTCCAAAAGGCATGTTTCTACTGCCACCCTCTGCCTCCTATGACTAAGCCAGTTCTGTAACCATTTTGCCAGCTCACCCCGATACCCTATGACTTCACCTTTTGTACCAGGCTGCCATGAGGGACCTTGTCAAATGCTTTACTGAAGTCAATGTTGACAACATCCACCGCTCTTCCCTCATCAATCAGCTTTGTCACCTCCTCAAAAAACTCAATCATGTTAATGAGGCATGACCTCCCGCACACAAAACCATGCTATTTATTGCTAATCTGTCCATTTGCTTTTACATGCTTATAGATCCTGTCTCTGAGAATCTTTTCCAATAATTTACCTTCCACTAATGTGAGGCTCACAGGCGTGTAATTTCCTGGATTATCCCTGTTACCATTTGTAAACGATGAGACAACATTAGCTTTTCTCCAGTCCTCTGGGACCTTGCCTGTGGTCAAAGAGGATACAAAGATGTCTGTCAATGAATAAAGTTAGGATCGAAGTTGTGCAGATATTCAATTGCACAGACAATTCATTTTCCAGTTTATAGCAAAGGAATGGCAAGTAGTTCCCCGTGAATGAAACAATGGGACAACAGCTCCTCCACCCTCTCCACTACTTCCTGGCTTCTTTCCATTTCCACAAAGTCTGAGTCACAACATAGGAGTAATCCAGAACACCTCGTGAGTGTGCGTGCTCTCTTGGTGCCTGGACCATGGTGAGGAGAGCAGTTTCTGCTTTATGGTATGGCAGTTGGTGAACACTAGTGAACTGCAGGGGTCAGTGTTGGACCATAACCATTCACCTTATGCATTAACAATCTGGACAAAGGAACTGAGGGCATTTTTGCTCAGTTAGTGAGCTGGGACATGAAACAGACAGTGAGCTGAAAAGTCCCACAAGCTGCACATGTGCAACCTTCGATTTCCAAAACCAAAGATCCAGTGTGTCTCCTGTGAATCTTACAAGAGAGTGCCTGGCAGACATTCGTCGCTAAAACCAACTGACATTTGGCAAATTCTAAATACATCGAAATCCTTTCTGCTTTTGTCCTTGCCTCACCTCCAGATCCCTCTGACCATTCAGCCCCCCAGGGAGAGGGAGTGAGCTGTTGAGGGAGATTATGTAGATCGGAGAAAGTGGACTGGAGGATAACCCAGGGAGAACACAGAGAGGAGCTGCTCAGATTGGTGACAGGTGGACAACTGCTGCTGCTGCTTCCCAGCGAGAGGTAGCTGGGAATATTGATAGTCACCCTTCATCCAAATGCATTTTTAACCCAATAGCAGACAAAACAAGACATGATCCAGAAGGGGAAAAAAAAGTTAAAAAACTGAATGACGCATACTGGTCTATTTCATTCTGTATATTTCAAAATGGAATTCCAGCACACCTGGTGTGTTAATTTTCAACTGGCATAGGGTTTTGTCAGTCAGCCAATCCTTTATCCATGCCAGTACCTTGCCCCTAACACCATGTCTTATCATATAATTCATAATGTTCCGCAAAAAATAGAATTCTCTTCTGAATGTCTATCCTGTCCTTTCAGTCAATGGTTGTATAAGCTTATTTTCCATAGATTTTCAATGAGAGTATTTACAGAATTAAAATGCAAAATAATCTTCCTTTCATGAAGAGGACCTCCATGTCATTGGCCTTTGAATATGGAAGGAGAAATGTCTGCCTGTTTTAACAGTAGGAGTACATATCTAACATCAACGTGACTGGGAAAGGTCCAAGACATACATCTGAATGAGAGTGTTCCAGTGAATTGACTGTGGAAAGAAATTTAACAAAATACACAACCTGAGGAAAACATTACACCACCCACAGTGAGAAGAAACTGTATATGTGTTCTGTGTGTGCACAAGGCTTCAATTGCTTGTCAAAGCACAAGTGACACAAGGACCCTCATGCTATGGAGAAACCTTGGAAATGTGAGGACTGTGGTAAAAGTCTCAATTACTCATCCCTGCTGGAAAACCATCAACGTATTCACACTGGGAAGAAGTCATTCAGTTGTTCTGTATGTGGGAAGGGATTCACTCGGTTATCTGGCCTTTGATCACACAAGTGAGTTCACATTGAGGAGAAGCTGTTCAGCTGCAATTCCTCTGGAAAAGGGTTCAGGCACCTTTCCACCCTCACTGTACACCAACGCAGTTACACTGGGGAGAGGCTGTTTCACCTGTTCTGAGTGTAGACAAGGATTCAGTCAGTGTTCTAGCCTTTGGTTACACCAGCGAGTTCACACTGAGGAGAAGCTGTTCAGCTGTAATTCCTGTGGAAAGAGGTACAGACATTCTTATGCCTTTACTGTACACCATCATACTCACAGTGGTGAGAAACCATTCGCCTGCCCTGAGTGCAGGATGAGATTCACTCAGAACTTTCACTTGCCGGCACACCAATGTAGTTACGCTGGGGAGAGGCCATTCGCCTGCTTTGAGTGTGGGAAAGGATTCACAGTTTTAGCAAATTTTCTCAGACACTAGCATATTCACACTGAAGAGAGACCATTCAGCTGCACTTTCTGTGGAAAAAGATTCTGGCACCAATCTGACCTCACTGCACACTAGCACACTCATACAGGGGAGAAGCCATTCACTTGCTCCATTGTGTGGGAAGACATTTGCTTGGTCTTTCAACCTCATTGCGCACCAGCGGTTCACACTGGGGAGAAGCCATTCATTGGCTCCACGTGGGGGAAGCGATTCGCCAAGTCTTCCAACCTGTTAACATACCACTGAGCACTTACACTGAGGAGAGATGATTCAACTGCTGTGTGTGTGTGGAGCAATTCAGTCACAGTGCCTCTTAAGACATCAGCAACTTCACAAGTAACTGCAGGGTCGGAATCAGTTGATATTGGCTTTCTGCCAAAATAGGGTTTGTTTCTGCTGATGTTAACAATTCATATAACGAGTCAGAGTTTAATATTCTAGATATGTCATTAATTTTCAGGGCTGCAGTATCCCTTTGTAAAAGCATCACTTACGATCCCACCCTTGAATTCAAGAACTTTCAACACAAACTTATCCACAATAAAATTGTGAAATTTAATTCAATTCTCGATCGATCTTTGGTGCCAAATCTACAGTTCAGTATCTGAAAAGTTCTGCTGCAAGGGTCAAAATTGCAAATTGTTTCCGATAGCTTTTCATGAGATTTTCTCGAGGGCTGCTCTTTGCTTTTTAGGGACTGCTTTTTGTTTCTCAAGAATTTTTTCTATTCTCAATAACTCCATTCTCACTAATTCCTTTATTAAGTGATACTGTCACAAAGTAAGTTTAGCTTTTATCTTATTCTGGAATTGTTTTAATGTATTGCTTTTTTTAGAAAGAAAATGTGGAATAAATACTTAGACAATGTAAACATAATATTTACTTTTCCAATCTTTCAAGTCTGAATCTATAAATAAGATAATTTTGTTAATTTATTTTAAATAAATCTCTCGTACTACCCATCTAAAATTAAAATTCTAACTACATGGCAATGGGTAAATGGAAAGGAGGTAGTGGGATAGTGGTAATGTGTAAGCGGTCAGTTCTCCAGAGCCCTGCTTCTGTCTCTTTTAGGCTGTGACTTACAGATACTCACTCACCTCCTTTTGGAAGAATTTGTTTTCCCTCAAATCCCCTTAAAACCTCCAGCTACTTATTTTAAAAGTGTGTCCCCTGGTTATTGATCCCTGTACTAAGACGAAATGATTCTCCCTATCTAAGTAGTCTATGCCCTCCAGAGCTTTGTTCACTTCAATCAGGTCCCCACCCAGCCTCCTCTGCTGCAAGGAAAACAACCCAGCCTCTCGACTTTTTCTGCATACCTCCATCGCTCCAGCCCAGGCAACATCCTGGTGGATCTCTGCACTTGTGCAGTCACATCATTCCTTTGGTGTTATTTATATAAATGATTTGGATATGAACATAGGAGGCATGGTTACTAAATTTGTGGATGACACCAAAATTTCTGGAGTAGTGTGCAGTGAAGAACGTTATCTCAGAGTACAGCGGGATGGAGAGTAATACTGCACAGAATACTCCGGGTGCGGTTGCCCGGGTGTCATGCAATATTGTTCAGTTCACTGGGTGGAGTAGACGTTGGCTCCGTCCCAGCACTGTGACGCTTGCAATGAGTTTCAACCAATGAGTGAGAGCTACGTACATTCTCGCCCGTCATTCACTCCGATTGGTTGGAGGATCGCCCGTGCCTTGTCGGTCACTCATGTCTGCCCCCTTCACATTGGCTTGGACTACCATCAATCACACGGGCCCAGTTGTGACCTGGAACATGCGCAGTGCGGACATTGCAGCAGGTTGCAGGTGGTGCCACATTGGAGGAGGGGACTCAAACATTTCGAGAAGCTCTCCAGGCCCAAGTAACAAAATCCCTGTCCTGCTCTCAAGGCAGGAGTTTGTGAGACAGGGTAGGAATGGAAACCGCAGGAGGTAGTGGCCTGGGCAGTGTATAATCTCGTGGGGGAGGCCTGGGGCCCCGAGTACCAGGCCCAAGGATCACTAACCGCCACAACAAGGTGCAGGGCTGGATGAACACAGCAGGCCAAGCAGCATCATAGGAGCAGAAAGGCTGACGTTTCGGGCCTAGACCCTTCATCAGAAAAGGGGAGGGGAAGGGGGTTCTGAAATAAATAGGGAGAGAGTGGGAGGCGGATAGAAGATGGATAGAGGAGAGGATACAAACAGTTCGAAGAGGCGGGGATGGAGCCAGTAAAGGTGAGTGTAGGTGGGGAGTTAGGGAGGGGATAGGTCAGTCCAGGGAGGACGGACAGGTCAAGGGGGCGGGATGAGGTTAGTCGGTAGGAGATGGGGGTGCGGCTTGAGGTGGGAGGAGGGGATAGGTGGGAGGAAGAACAGGTTAGGGAGGCGGGGACGAGCTGGGAAATCCCTGCAGCCCAATGGTATCAATGTAGATTTCACAAGCTTCAAAATCTCCCCTCCCCCTACCGCATCCCAAAACCAGTCCAGCTCGTCCCCGCCTCCCTAACCTGTTCTTCCTCCCACCTATCCCCTCCTCCCAACTCAAGCCGCACCCCCATCTCCTACCGACTAACCTCATCCCGCCCCCTTGACCTGTCCGTCCTCCCTGGACTGACCTGTCCCCTCCCTAACTTCCCACCTACACTCACCTTTACTGGCTCCATCCCCGCCTCTTCGACCTGTTTGTTTCCTCTCCACCTATCCTCTCCTCTATCCATCTTCTTTCCGCCTCCCACTCTCTCCATATTTATTTCAGAACCCCCTTCCCCTCCCCCTTTTCTGGGTCTCGTCCCGAAACGTCAGCCTTTCTGCTCCTATGATGCTGCTTGGCCTGCTGTGTTCATCCAGCCCTGCACCTTGTTGTCTTGGATTCTCCAGCATCTGCAGCTCCTACTATCACTAACCGCCATTTTGGTTAGGTCGGGGACGGGAATTCTCCCCAGATACTTGGCCGCCATCTTCGTAAAGGGAAGCCGTGTCCCACTTGGGGAGAAATCGATGAGGCTCTGACGAGGAAGGAAACCGTAGAGGTGTGTGGGTAGGATTCACCAAAACCCGCTGGAGGCTCAAACCCCGAATCAGACTCATTGATTTGATTTTTAGTCAGCAGACAGGAGTTGTGAAACTTAATCCAGAGAGGAGAGGATGGAGGAAGGGAGAAAACTGGGAGAGGAAGAAAGAGATGGGGGGATAGACCTGGATTTCAGTCGAAAGAGGAAGGAGGGTGAAGCCAGGAATTTACAGATTTGAGAAATGAGAGAGGAGAATAATATTCCTTAGGATCTGGACTTGTCTGTTCTGAATTTCTATCCTGCAATGACAGTGATGACTTTTGTAAACTCCTTTTGCAGGATATTAGAAGAGAAGGATTTGCAGATATTAAACACAAATCAAATTTCCTGCTGAGTCTGGTTGACTCATGCAATTTATGAGGACCTGAGTACCTTCGGCCTCTGAATGTGGAAGGAGAAATGTTTGACCTGTATGTAGGTGATACGCACAATACTCAGCTGAGAGTGTTGCAGTGAGTAGTCTGCGTAAGAGATTTACCCTGTTACAGGTCCCAAGTGGGAGCATTCCAGTGAATTTCCTGTGGAGAGAAATTGAACCAATCAAGAATGTTGGGAAAATATTTACACCATTCACAGTGGGGAGGTACTGTGCTCGATCAGTGTGCTGTCAAGGCTTCAGTTCATCACCCATTCTGAAGTGATACAAAGGTGACAGTCCCTTGAAGAAACCGTGGAAATGTGAGGACTGTTGTAAAAGATTCGATTACCCATCCCAGCTGGAAATCCACCAATGAATTCGCACCAGGAAGAAGCCATTTACCTGTTCTGTGTGTGGGAAGGAATTTAATCAAACAACGAAACTCATGTCACCCCAGAGAATTCACACTGGGGAGAGACCGTTCACTTGTTCAGAGTGTGGGAAGAGATTTACACAGACATACTGGCTCATGTGACACCAGTGGATTCGCACTGAGGAGAGGCCCTTCTGCTGAACTTACTGTGTTAAAAGGTTCATATCTTCATCTGACCTGAATATACACCAGCGAGTTCATACGGGGGAGAAGCCATTCAACTGTTCTGTGCATGGGAAGGGATTCCCTCATTCATCTGGCCTTCGATCACACCAGCAAATTCATACTGAGCAGAAACTATTTGGCTACACCTCCTGTGGAAAGAAGTTCAGACATTCATCTGTCCTCATTGGACACCAGCGAGTTCACTCTGGAGAAAAGCCATTCACCTGCTCTGTATGTGGGAAAGGGTGCAGTCAATCATCCAGTTTGCTGAGACAGCAGCGAGTTTACCCTGGAGAAAAGCCGTTTAGCTGCACTTCCTGTGAGAGAGATTTTTGGCAGTCGTCCACCCTCTTTGCACACTAGCAAATTCACACTGGGGAGAAAGCGTTCACTTGCACTGTGTGTGGTAAGGGATTCTTCATTTTGTCCACACTCGAATATCACCAGTTAATTCACACGGAGGAGAAGCCATTCAGCTGTACTTCCTGTGGGAGTAGTTTCAGGTGTTTTCCGCTCTCTGCTCACCAGCGAGTTCACACTCGAGAAAGGTCATTCATCTGCTCCGTGTGTTGGAAGGGATTCATTCAGTCCTTCAACCTAGTGATACATAAGTGAGTTCATAAGTGAACCTCAATAACCTTTATACTGCAGTAGTTCAAGGAGGAAACTCACCACCATCTTCTCCAGGGCGACTAATGATGGCCCAGTCAGAGAGTTCCCTATCTTATGAAAGAATTGAATTCTGCTGTTATTGCTGTTATTGATCACTTCCAAAATTGACAGTCTGACAATATTAGATTTGTTTCAACTGATGTTAACACATCTGTAACTGGCTGCAGTTTGGTAATCTGGATATATTGCTGATGGTTTGGACAAGCATCCGTTTTAAAAGCACCAACGGTCATCCTGAATTCAAGATCTGTGATTGGAGAGAGAAATTGATGCCTTGTCGAAGGAAAAACACAAAAATCATCAATTTATAGAATGAAAGCTGACAAAGGAGATGACCAAAAAAGCTTTGTTCATCAATGCTCCCAGGGCCAACTGCTCCTTTCATTGTTCTGTATTGCACAGATTAACAGCATCACATCTGATAGGTCCAGGGTAAAGAATGAAGTGAAACTGGCCTGTGTCAGAACTCCGACTTTGTTTCACATCTTCTTCTTCATTCTCTCGGCCTTGGCATTCCCCTCTGAAATGAAGAAGTTTACCTGTATACCTGGTCAGGCAGCAAGCTCGACACTCAATCCACACTGAAAACAAAGACGAAAATAAAGCTTGTCTTTAATCCTCTACCCTACACTGATGACAGTGCACTGGTCCACTCAACTTTCTTCTTTACCACCTTATCCAACTGTGTTCAGGGAGCTATATGGAATTGGACCCCAAGATCCCCTTTTATACCAATGCTCCTGATGGTCCTGCCATTTACTGTATACTTTCCTCTTGCATTTAGCCTCCCAAACTGCATTACCTCGCACTTCTCTGAATTAAAGTCCATCTGTCATTTCTCCATCCAATTTTCCAATTGATCTACATCCTGCTGTGTCCTTTGACAACCTCACGATCCTCAGCTGCACCAATTTTCACAGCATTAGCAAACCTATTAAACAGACAACTTAGATTTTCATCCAAATCTTTTGTAAATATGACAGACCTTGTGGAACACCACTGGTCACAGATCTCCAGTCAAAAAACACCGTCCCCACCCACCCTCTGTCCTCTGTCACCCAATCCAATTTAGCAACTCACCATGGATCAATCTCATGTGACTTAATCTTCTGGACCCACCTATCATGAGGGAGCTTGTCAAATGCTTCAGTAGAGTGCATGCAGACAACATCCACTGTGCTGCCTTCATCAATCATCTTCGTCACTTGCTCAAAAAAACTCAATCCAGTTTGTGAGACATGACCTCCTCTGCAGGAAGCCAAGATGCATGTTATCCACGTGAACTTTAGCAAGGCCTTTGACAAGGTCCCTCATGGCAGGCTGATACAGAAGTTTAAGTGACCTAGGTTACACTGTGCGTTGGGTACAGAACTGGCTTTGTCATAGAAGATGAAGAGTAACTAGAGATCTGTGACCAGTGCTTTTCTGTAGGAGTCAGACCCCTGTTGTTAACATATTTATTATAAAAAATATTTGGAGGAGAATGGAGGTGGTCTATTTAGTAAGTATGTGAATGACAAAGATCTGGGGAGCTGTGAGTAGTGAGGAGGAATGCCAGAGGATACAGCAGGACATAGATTGACTGGAGACTTGGATGGAGAAATGGCAGGTGGCATTTAATCCAGACAAATGTGAGATGATGCATTTTGGAAGGTCTAATGTAGAAGGGAAGTATACAGTAAATGGCAGAATTATGAGAAGCATTATCATAGAGCAGGATCTGGATATACAGGTTCACAGTTCCCTGAAAATGGCAACTCAAGTGGAGGTGATGGTCAAGGCGAAGTGGATAAAAACTGGTCATGTTGCAGCTCGCGAGAACTTTAGTGAGGCTACATTTGCAATGTTGTGTACAATCCTGCTCGCCAAACCACCATAAGGATGTTTGGCTTTGCAAAGGGTACAGAAACAGTTTACCAGGATGTCACCTTGTTTGGAGGATATTAGTTATGAGGAGAGGTTGGATAAATTTGGTTTGTTTTCATTTGAACATCAGAGGCTGAGGGGTAACCCGGTAGAAATTTACAAAACTGTGAGAGACATGGATAGTTGGAGTCTAGACTGGAAATGACAATTCATGTAGGGGACATTAAGTTTAAGGTAAAAGGGAAAAAATGTAAAGGAGGTGTGAAAGGCCAGTTTTTACACAGAGGATAGTAAGTGCCTAGAATGCGTTGCCAGAGGAAGTGGGATAAGCAGATACAATCACAATGCTTAAAAGACATCTTGATGGATTCGTGAATTGGCAGGGAATAGAGAGATATAAACTGTGCAGGGGAAAGAGGTTTCATGATTAGAAAATCATGTATTAATGGAGGCTTGTGGGCTGACGGGACTGTTCCTGTTCTCTAGTGTTCTTTGCGACCTCAGTTCCCCAAATACAGACTGCAATATTGGTAGTGTAAGAGGCAGTGAGGGTAAGTTTTCCTGGAATGTATGCACGACAATTTCTGAAAACAGTGCATTCAATTCAAAAAGAAAGAGTGCTCGTTTGGTCCTACTTCTTGGGAATGATGGGGGCCAAGTAGGTCAAGTATCAGTGGCAGACCATTCAGGAGACAGTGATCACATGTAGTAAGGTGCAGAATAATGTCAGATAATAACAAACATTAATTCAGAATTAGAAAGCTCAGTTGGTGGAGAGTTGTCTTCAACAGAGCAAGGACAAAGCTGGACAGCAATGACTGGAATGGCAGGTTGATGGGACAAAGTATAATTAATAATAAGGGCTACTTTCAAAGAGGAGATGGTTCAGGTACACTCAAATAGGAAAGGAAGGACAAACACATTCAGAGCTGCTTGTATGACAAATAGAATTTAAGATAAAGAAGAAAAAATGCACTTATGATAGGTGTCAAGGAGAAAAGTCCAAATTGACAGTCACGAGGAATACAGAAGGTTCAGAAGTTGGGGCAAGCAGGTGAAAAAGCAAACGAGACAGGGAGAGAATTAGGAGAAAAGGCTGGCAGCCAGTTGAGAAGGGCTCATAACACACTGGGTATAACAATGTAGGAGAGAAACCAGAGAAACATGCAGGTTCTGGGTTCAGACAAGGGCGAACTTTAGGAACCCAATGGCCTCATAGGAAGCAGCAGAGGCAGTGGATCGGATTGTCACTATGAGTGAGATAATGAAGCTTTGAGCTCCTCACAGTTGTTGTTGTAGGTGAGGATGGAGGATACATGGGGGAGGGGAAGAGATGTTCAATGAGAACAAACTTGTATCAGAGATATCATAAAAAATAAACATACTGCAGGTCGCACAGAAAGCTGTTTGATTTGACTTTTATGCTAAATATAAAGACTGAGAACTGGAGTTATTCACACCAGTGGAAACAGACTCCACTGAAATGGTTCAGTACTGTTGTGATTGAAAGCAAAATCCAAACATCCAACAGCTACTTACGAACTCACTTCTGTGTCAGCAAATGAGATAAATGAGTGAATCCCTTCCCACACTCAGAGCAGATGAATGGCCTCTCTCCAGTGTGAATTCGCTGGTGTATGTTGAGGTTAGATGATCATCTGAACACGTCTACAAAAAGCACACGGTCTCTCAGCGGTGTGAACATATTGATGATTCATCAGTTGCCCAGAACGTTTAAAGCACTTCCCACAGTTTGGACGTTTAAAAGGTCTCTCGTCAGTGTGAACAGCTTGTGTGCCAGCACTGTGGTTAACCCAGTGAATCCCTTCCCACAATCAAGGCTTGCATTGTGTCAGTCCAGATAGTTAACTAAAACCGTGTCCACACATACAATACATGTGTGGTTTCTCGACACTGTGAACAGTGCTTTCTCCTTCCATGTTCAAAATCTGATAATGTTCTGTTTACAATAAACTGAGGGGTCCATGAGACCCTGGGATGATGTCTGGTGTCAGTTTCCCTTTGAATACCCTGTGAAATCGATTTAAAACAGAAGAATGGGAGTAAGAGATAGTCCATACAAACACCAGGCTGCCTGTGTAATGAATCTGGTAGTTCGTAGGATTAATGACGCACTATAAAAAGGTGACCACAAAAGTCATAAAAGCCAAGTGGTTTAATAATGTCGATCAGGGAACGGAACCTGCCACCTGGTCTGGACTTACACAAGACTCTGGCCTCTTTGTGAGTGGAGAGACAAAGAAAGAATGTGGAGAAAGAGGTGAAATACAGGTATTGAATAAATCCACATCTCAATCAGGACTTTGACATCATGTCCCAAACGCTTAATCTTCACTATTGCGAATGTCCAGTGTGGAAGATCGATATGGAACACCATCACCATGAGGACCCCCTCCAAGTCACACATCGTCCTGACTTGTCTGAGTCCAGTGCAGGATGGAAAGAAATGTCCTCCAATTTAACACTGAGAAAGCTTCTACACTGACTCCGACCTTCTGTCTAGTAACTGTGTGAAGCTGAACCAGACTGTTCACAACTCTGATGAAATACTTCACACTAAGATGAGCTTTCAACCACATCATCACCAAACCAACTGTTTCCATCTCAGTAACATCACCCGACTCCATCCACGTCTCAGCTCATCTGGTGCTGAAACCCCTTTCCATTCTTTATTACCTCTAGATTTAACTACCCTAACACTGGCCGGTCCCCCACATTCAACCTTCCTGTAATGTTGGAGTGATTCAAATCTCTGCTCTCTCAGTTCTAGTGTTATTGGCCCAAAGTGCATCACAGATGCTGAA